GGGTGTGTTTGGCCTGGAGAAGGCTGAGAGGGGATCTGATCTGATCAGTTTACGCACCTGAGGGGAGAACGTCGTGAGGAAGGGGCCAAACACTTCTCAGTTGTGGCCAGTGATAGGACAAGGGGCAATGGGTACAAGTTGAAACCTAGGCAGTTCCATCTCCAYATGAYGGAGATGAGGAATAACTTCCCCGTGAGGGTGCCAGAGCCCTGGCACAGGCTGCCCYGGGAGGCTGTGGAGGCTCCTTCTCTGGAGATCTCCCAAACTCGCCTGGAATCCTTGCTCTAGCAATTCATTCCTTCCCGCACATGCCATTTGGCCAGAAGATCATGACCAGCCTTTGCTCCACATTAGTATGCTCTCCTGTAACACATAATAGGCCTTTCTTCAAAGGAAGGCTAATCAAGCAGCCTTGAGTTCAGGAAGGGAGAATGCAGGGAGGAAGGGGACARGCTGTTYTCACTGGTGGCCAGCGACAGGACGAGGGGTAATGGCCACAAGCTGGACCACAAGAAGTTCCGTCTCCAGGTGAGGAGCAACTTCTTTACTGTTAGGGTGACAGAGCAGTGGAACAGGCTGCCCAGGGRGGTTGTGGAGTCTCCTTCTCCGGAGGTCTTCAAAACCCGCCTGGATGCCACCCTGTGCCACTTGTTCTAGGTGTGCCTGCTTGAGCAGGAAGGTTGGACTAGATGATCTCTAGAGGTCCCTTCCAACCTTGAATATTCTGTGATTCTGTGATGCGACTGGGTGCCCCATGCTCTGGGTGTCCCTGCTGGAGCAGAGGCTGGACTGGATGATCTCTAGAGGTTCCTTCCCTTTGGAGAAGCCGTTGGCTCAACTCCAAGTGTCAGGAGGGCCGCCACTCTCTAAAACACTCGTCACAACTGTGATCATCTCCACGCTGCAAAGAGACAGAGCTGGCAGGCCACAGCTGAGACGCCCTGGAGCACCCAAAGCAGCTACTGCTTCCCTGAACACCCCAGGCCCCTGAACGAGGGGCCCAGGGTGCCCTCAGGCCGGCCCCTGCCCGCACTCCTCCTCCTTGCCCAGAGGGCCACTGATGGGGCTCAGGTGACAACTGGCCATGCAGATCTCACAGCATTTCCCCCAGGCAATTCCTCACCCAACAGTCAAGCATCTAGATCCAAAACCATTTAATTGTTAAAGCAGCCTCTTCAAGTGATTTGTGAACCCTTCAGTCACCCAGCTATGGGGTGTAAGACCACGTTATTCTGAATCCTAAGCCCCTGACTCCCTCGGGAGCCTTTGGGAAGGCGTGCTGGAAAGAAGCGCTCGCCTTCCCCATGCTTCCCCGGCGCAGCCAGGCCAGTGCATGTGATTCCCTGAAGGAGTATGTGAATAACCTCCTATCACCCACTTTCGGCTGGGCTGCAGGACCCACCTACCAGCAGCAGGATGAGCTCCAGGGCCTTTTGCTTCATGGCATTAAATTAGCTACCTCCACAGAGCCCATCTTCTCTCCCTGGGAGCAAACTTGGGGAAAGAAAGAAGTTTGAAACTAGAAGAGTCTGTTTTGCATCTGGTCCAATTTCATCTGTATCTTTGAAAAACAGTGTTAAAAAATAAAAGCAGGTAATTCCGACTTTAGCATATATTAAGATGTAAGCCCTGGTTGCCTGCCAAAAGCAGCCGCAATTCAAACGCTAACCTTTTTTGATGAGAAATAAAAGGACTGTATAATAAATGCCTGCGTGGGTTAAGAAATAGGGACACTGACGAGAGGCGGGGGCCTTTGAACGTGCCGCTCTGCTTCTCCCTGCCCTCCAGGAAACACCCCAACTTGGACCAGGGACCAAGACGCTTCCACTTGCGACCGTTCCTCACTGCAATTTTGCCAACCTCGTTAACTAAAACCCAATTAACAACTGCAATTAAAAGCAGGGCGGCTCCATTCAGCGTTTTGTTGTGCTGCAGGTGGTTGTATTTTGTTGTGTTGAACAGCGATCAGGATTGATCTTTCACTCTGCACAAGAGAGTCACTGCTGGGCCCGCCGTGTCAGAGCTGCTAACATGGCCCTTACTCACATCCACTGCACGTTCCGCAAGTGCGAGCGGCCAACGCTCCTCCTTGTTTCTTTTCACTCCACATTTTCCTCGTGCATTTACTGGAGACACAGAGTTGCCGCTGACCTCATTTCACCCACCGCTCCAGGTGACATTTCAACTTTAAGCTAAAATCCGAGGGAGGAGAGCGCGTGTGACATTTATCCTGCTTGGAACGAGCACCCCAGAGGCAGCCAAACTGGACACGACAACAGTCGYGTGTGTGTTTGTTTTAAACATGCTGCTCATCCACCCCCAGGCTAATATTTGTTCTGGCGGGCCCTAGGATGGAGCAAGAGAGGAATGCAGACAAGTAGCCCCGGCCGTTGAATGGCCATTGAATGCATCTCCTTCACAAGGAAATCATTATTTATTTACAGCAGGGGGGCTGCAGCAGATGCCAAGGAACTGCATTTCACTAATAGATTTTTATTCCTGCCCTATGGGGAATGATTAAGTTGCTAAGGATGGATGAGGACCAGTAAGGGTATGCAGTACCCTTAGTACTTAGGTACTGCATAGGGTAGTAGGGAGCAGGCTAAAGGGGAGCTAAAGGGGAACAACGAGCAGATCAAGTTCCCAAAGGAATTTTGCTCTGCAAGGTGACTGAATTCCCTACAAACAGGGCCTAACGCGGCTATTTCATCTGACYGAAACCTCGGAAGAAGAAACCCGGAGCACGTTTATTGCTGGCACAACCCGGAGGCAAAGCGAGAGGGCAAATGTGAGACGCCTCTGCGTGTCACCCGGGCACGGCGAGAAGCACTTCTCGGTCAGCGCAAGAGCAGCAAAGGAGGCGTCTCAGGCGGCAGCGCCCGGCCCGGCCGCGCTCCGCAGACCCGCTCGCCCCACGGCGGGATTCCTGGCATCACAATGGAAGCTGCTTTGCCAGGGAAGATCATAGGAAATTAACGAGCAAAAACAATTCCACCCTCTAAATATTACTGTAGCTGACGTGTAGTGGGTTAGGCGTAGGACATGGTTTTACATTCAGCTTTGAGAAATCTACTTCTAAATAATTTTTCCAAGCAGCGACTCGTCACGTGGATGACATTTGCTGAATAACCAGCTCTGTGACACCGTTTTAAAGTGACTTCTATTTCATTTTTCCCAGATACTGAAGCATTAGGACACTGCTCCATGCTACTGCAAAGGTATCAGACATCCTGCTCCAGCTGATTTCACAGAGTCTGGAGCGGCCAGAGCTCGAGGCCTTCTCCAGTTCATGTCAAGTAAGGGTAATTCTCAACTCCTGATTCAACTTATTTACAACAGGTGCTGGAAACAAGGCAACGTTTGTTGCCTGGAAGCAAGTTCTGGCTTGTACCATTCTCTCCAGACAGGACCTACAGTTTGRTGTTGGGATTAGACAAACTTACTTGGAGCGTGATCCACATGAATAAATTCTGAATTTTTACATCTTCTGCATTTCATAGTGACACGAGTTAAAGTTTTTTTGTAAAGTTCTCCTAGGATGATTCCAAGCTTCTAATGTAGGGAGCCAAGAAAGACCTCAAAAGGCTTCAGGCAACATTTATAAAGCAAAAACAACTCGATTGGACTTCTGGCTGCAACTGCCACCTGTCAAGGTGATGCCACGTTCACTCATTCCCATTAGCTCCTGAAACACAGCCAAGCGGCAGCGCAGGTGCCCGAACAGCCAGAGGAACAACATACTGCAACATCCCTGGGTACGTCCACTCCTGGCTTTTAAATAAGCGACATTTAAATGGAAATTGCTGCTCAACCCCCTCGTCAACATTCGTTTGCTGAGAAGACGCCTCCCTGCCCCAGCAGCGATGCCAGGTTGCCTAAACCTCACAGTCGAAACCCCGATGCAGGTTGGAGCTGCCGGCCTCCCATGGCGCTGCTGGCGCCCGGCCCCGCGTGCCCGCTAATGATGATCAGAAGAGAGCTCGTTAGGGTGAGCAGCACATCAGGCAGCCCAGGCAGTCCTCCTGTCAGGAGCGGCAGCCACAACGCCGCTGTGCACAGAGGCACGAGGTCTCATTAGTTTTCTTGCTTATCGTGAGCAGCAGCCAAAACATGGGGCCAGGCTGGAGGACAGAAGGGWGCAAAAGGCCATCCAGGAGGGAGCTAATAGAGCAGGGAGGCCTGCTTGACTTGGTGCAAGAAAACAAGGAACGCTCAAGCACGACGGCAGCTTCCGTGTAGAAGCAAAGCTGTTACTACCTGGAGCTGCCCTCATGTAGCTATGAACAGGGAGTTTTCTAAGGGAAAACTATGGTGCAAGAACAGCGCAGAAATATGAATGTGTTATTACAACTTACCTATGGGAAATGCCAAAGACTCACCAACAACATATAGGTAAGTTCCTTACAGACACCATAAATACACAGTTGCACCTTGTTCTTAACGCCTTCATTAAGAACAAGTATCTGTCGAACTCAGGTCCTTGCTTTGCAATTGCTCCAAAACCATCATGGATTTGTATCCTTCTATTATTACTACCGGTAAAATGCAGAATCCATTTCTGGTGTTGCTTAAATAAAGACCCAGTGAGGATGAACGCAGGCTATCGCAGCGGCATCCCGTGCTTCAGGATTTCAAAAACACCAYTTCTCTAAAGGACCTTCACTTTGGGTCTTTCCTCAAGCGTTTGCCCAGCTCGGTGTGCAGCCCACCCCATTTTTCTCTCCAACTACCATTCCAAGCTCTCCAACGCTCTGTTTCGCAGCAGAGCAAGGCGAGGGACGTGTTTTGAAGATGACGACGAGCAAATTTTAATGCTGGTTCCCATTACAGCCTTACGCTTTTGTTCATCTTGTCTGCTAGGTTAACAGCTTTGTAAACGCACTCACCAGATGATTAAACTGGGGACATCACCACTCAAACCCCTTCTCCAAGCAGCAAGTCCAGGGCAAAACCACCCCCCTTCCTCCCTCCAAGCCGGGTCCCCGCCCCACGGCTCCTACCTTCGTCATTCTGGGCCCAGCAAGCCGCCAGCACGGCGGCCACGGCGGCGATCCCCACGGCTGAGCGCTGCCGGAGGCCAAACCGCTGGAACATCTTCCTGTCACGCGTCACTCGAGGCCGGCCTGTAAAAAAAAAAAACCCAGGACTTGCTACGTGCATCGATTAAAAACCCTATGCAGATGTKTGCAATTACAAACTTCACCTTAGGTAACGATATATATATATGTATCTCAATTGTCTTTAACAGTACAGGCCATAAAGCAAGCAACGTTATCGCTGTGAACGTGTTGGTTTGAGCGCCGTGCGTGCGCAGCCTCCAAGGCAGCTGGCCCATGGTGCCTTCATTAACTCAGCCATCATTTCCAGCAAATAAATATTTTATTCTTGCTGCTTTCAAGTGCTTTGAAGCAACTGGAGCAGGGAGGCTCTGCTTATTAAGCCTCCTGYCGACCACAGGCCGGCGGGGGGCCCCGCGTTCGAAGCCGTCGCCCAACAGAGCGTCTCCCAGCAGAAGCTGGAGGGAACCGAGCACGTGATGGGGGCCWATGTGCCAGGCTGCTGGTCCGTGTCCAGCAAAGTGGGGGAAATCAGTAAAAACAGCAGAATAAACTGGCCAAGACAGGCCTGGAGGAACTCCAAGGCATATGTGGAGCAAACAGCACTAGGAAGTTGTGTAAAGCTCTGCTTTATTGCTTCAGTAAAGASAATTATCATATTTCTGTGGCCCCAATGTGAATTATTTACAATATTTCTTCACATTAAAAATACATGGTGGCAAATACAATGAACTTGCTCAGCAAGGCAAGCACGAGCAGAGAGCACTGAAAGAAGAAACTCTTCCTAATATACCCATCTTCCCCTATTTAACAGCCTTGAATTAACCCAACCTGCTCCACTGCAGTGCTACCATTTTCCTTCCATCAACGCTGCTTGCAGAGGGATGCAAGATGTTCACAGAGCATCTTATTCACACCACAAAACAAAAATATTAACTCAGGGCTGAAAAACCTCCTTGCAGATCACGTGAAGTTATTGGAACCCAGAGGAAACACAATGTATCGCATTAGGAGACCGCATTATTTTCTTCGGGACAGGCTACAARCCATCACATCCATGGGCACAAGCCCCAGAAATAAATGCAGTCTCACAGCCTGCAAAAACCAGATTTGCACGGAGAAACCTGGTTGTTTCTGCACAGCAGAAATGGAAAGCTCCAAGGATGCTCTCTGGGGAGCCTGGGCAGGAAAAGCTACAAACACGCACGGATTTTCCCCATGGAAAACAGCCAGTCACCAGAGGTGCTGCCAGCTCGACTGCAACAGACGGGCACGTGAGGAGCTGTCACTGCCAGTGCCTCCAATGTTCCTGTCACAGCAAAGCTGACCTAAGATTTARCTGCAGATGCAACCTAGAGGGGTATCCTACTACACTATTTAAGCACAGGAAAAGCCCCAGCTGGCATGGGGGGTCTCCTCCATGGGAAGGTAGAGCTGCACATCTGGAGATGCAAGCAGAAACTCCCCAGCACCTTCTCTACACCAGCTTCCAAGTAATTCCCACTTTCCTCCCTGCCATCATTTGCTCTAACTTAACTTTGAAACAGCAGCAGCAGCCCTTGGAGCTCCCCTAGAGCCACCCTGGAGAATTTCACCGTTCCTAGGCACRAAGGGCAATTTAAAAATACAGGATTAAAGGGCAACTTGTATTTCAATGTGGCTGCCCACGCATTCGCTTCAATAGTTTGTCCCCCAAAAGCATCCTTGTACCATAGCTAGAAGCTGGTTTTCCATTAAAAAAATAACATTCTGCTTCATGTGAAAACATCAGAGGGAATATAATCCATTATTTGAAAATGCAACAACCCTCATCTTTACAAAGTATGTAGAGTTGAAATTAAAGCATTAAAGTACAGGCTGTTTTACTGGTTGATAACAGCAATCTATGTTGATACGAGTGCAAAATAAAAGACTTATATTCCAAGACAAGTAGGGGATGAGATGCCACATGTCTACAAATTTCACCCCAAAGGTCCTTCTTCGTCCTCACTCCAGAGACAGGAGGAAATCCAAGGCTTCCTTTAAGTGAAAACTAAGAAAAAAACTTCGTATTAATGGAAAGAACGCGCTATGGTTGAAACTTCAGCAAAAGATTTCAAGTGTTTCAACTTCTTCCCAGCTCCCACCAGTTAAGTGATTCTCCAAGGAGTCCAAAATATGAATTATGAGCTGGAGGGAAGAATAAAAAGAAAAGATCCAAACTAATGTTCAGACACAATTCTCTCCATTCCTAGCCAAAGACCCATTTCCAATTGCTCATGCTGAGGACAGGGAGCTGCTGCTGTTCTGTACACCTGCAATAGCACAGCAAGGAGCTGGCTCCGGGCTCCTCTCCTGGCCGGGGCGCGGSGGGGAGTTTCTGCTGTTATTCCTTTTCTTGGCAAACTTGTAAAAAATTCTGGCAAAATACATATATCCAACTTGTCATGGCCAAGTCTGCCTTGCTAGGAAYGACTGCTTCCACTTGTCTGTTAGTCAACACATGTCAAAGGAGCACTAAATACATCCTGCAAAAATAAGAGCTTTTCGTTAGCTCTGGTAAAATAACTTGAAATAAAACAATTTCAGAATTAAGACATACACACACACACACACACATACACACTCAGTAGAAATTTCATTCAACTCCTTCAACTACCTGAAAGGAAAGTTTAGGAGGATGGACCAGGTGCCCTTGCCATAGGGCTGAGGCATCCAGTTCAGCTTGCTCCCTTTCCACCCTCCTGCTAAACAGTCCCTCTTCTACTCACTCCCAACATCCCACGGGGAAYTGAGCTCACAATTCTGCTAATTCCACTGAAAAGAAAGGAGGGAGGCTGCAAGGAGTCACAGAATGGGTGCTGAAGGCAGCCCACCCAACTGCAAACCTCAGTGCCCAGCAGCAGAGGCCAATGGGTGAGTCCACACGCGCTCGGCGGGACATCAACATCCAGCTGCCTTACCTTCAATCACAGAATACACGTGTGGGGTCACCACGGACAGCTCTTCAATGGCCCAGTCATTCACAGAAGAGCTCTCCAGCTTGGAAGCTGGTCGGAGCAGAGCAGTTATCAAACAATCTCACTATTTAAGAATCTACTGAACTGTGGAAACAAAACTTGAATATCAGACAAGTGGCAAAGATGGTCGGAAACTAAGAGCTAAGAGTGTCTCACCCAGTGTCCCAACACACCATGCTTGAGGACAGAGCAGCGAGGTGGTGCCTACCAGGAAACTTCCCACTGCTGGAGAATAACCGGGAGGATTTAAGTACCTGAGGAATCACTTAGGAGAGGAATTTCATGTGAATAAAAATGCACCGAGGACAAATAAGGCATTCATGAATGCAAACAGGGCGGCTGAATTTGGCAGCTCCCTCGACRCGTTCCCCTCGGAGGCAGCGGCACAGACAGCTCAGTACCCATCGCACCCCAGCAAGGCAAGCAAACAAAATGCTTTAGAGCATTAAGAGAGAGAGAAGAGGACCTAAATCATAATGACATTATAAAGCACAATACAAACCCCCTAGAGCATCACAAGCAGCTTCGGCTGCCACATCTTCACAGAGAGATCCCAGCAGTTATTGAAGTCTTTGGGAGGAGAGCCCAACTCTTTTTGAAGACGTGGTGAGACTAAAGCCCCTTCTAAAAAAAGGGCAAGGAACCCTCTCAGAAAACSCTAATGCCTTTAAGAAAACAAGCCCAGGGATCATTTATCATGGTAAAGAACCTGCAGCAAGTGACTGAAAAATGCTGGACTGATTAAATTCTCCCTTACTTAAGACTTTTGTATTTCAAAAAAAGGAAAGATTTTTTGCATACCAATTCAACGTTTAGGCTTCTCCCCAAAACCTGTAAGGACAGGGCGTACAGCTCACAGCGCATCCAACTTCCCCGAGTCACCTCTAGGCCTGCCCTTGCACGTTCTTCCAGGTTAACACAGTCCCAAGGCATAATTTTATTCATTAAAACTAAGATTTAGGGAAATTATTGACCTGAGCAACCCATTCTGTTCCCATTCAAATAAGCAGCATCCATCTTTGAACCTGCAGGGTGATACCGCAAAGCTGGAGGAAAAATGGGGCTTCCAGTTGGAGAAGGGAGGAATTTAAAACAACCAAATAAAAAGAAGGCAGAGGAAGTTAACAGAAATAATGCATGTTCTCACCTATGCAGCCCTTAACCAGTGAGGGCACCACCTGAAGCACCAAGGCCACTCTCTTTTCTTCAGATTAGGATCCAATTTCAAGCCATTTCCCACTCACGAGCAACCCAAGTTCTGCCGCTTCCGCTGACGGCACAAATCCAACAGCTCCAGATGCTAAAATGAGGGCTTATGTCACGAAACCGTGACAAGGTCACCCAAAGTTACCTAAACCTGCACGAGTCTGTCCTCGAGGGAGAATGAAAAATGACAGAGAGGCAAGGTCACAGGCAACAACACTGGGGAAAACACAGTGGGGTCTCGAGGCCCAAGCCTTGAGAGAGCTTCGCCACAACACACTCTGTCTTAGAGGCAAGCCATCAAACATGCGGCAAAAATCCATATGGATGTGGTATCCGTAGAGGCCTGGGAGAAATTACACAAAATGAGAGCCATGACAGAAGCAAATTGTCCCGAGGACACAGTCAACCTTAGGTGCACAGCTCAGCAGAGGACAGCACAGCCGTGACACCCACGCGGCCTTACAGCCTTAGCCCGGTTTTGAAGCTGGAGTTTGCAGCGTGCTCTCACAAATCCCATTGCAAAGGCATTAGGTGGTCTTAAATTCGCTGAGATCTCAGCTTTTCTTTCTGAAAAAATGGCTTTGATAATGTAATTGGATTGACTTTGTTGAATCCCCAGGCCACTACATGCTAGGAGGCCCTATCTTGCATCCCTATCCCTGTGAAAATCCAAAGAGCCAAGAAGTAAATCAAAATAAACACAAGAGCAATCAAGATTTGAGCTTTATCCTGAAATCCATGACCATCAACTGCCTTCGGGTTTCCCAATGCCAAATAAAAATTACAAAAATTATTCAGAAAACATTATGAAACATTCTGAACCTTTCCCTTTTTGCTCCT